ACAGCACTCCTGTGAGGTAGGGAAGTTTTGCAATCCCATTTTATGGATGGGGAACTGATACACAAAGAGGCTAAGGTCCAGATCTTCAAAGCTATTTAGGCTCCCAACTTCAGTGGAAGTTAGGATACTAAATACCCCTGAAGAACCGGGCATAAATGACTTGCCCAAAATCACTATTATGAATCAGGGACTTGAACCAAGGTCTCTAATCACTGGACTGACTAATCTCCTTATCTAATGTTGTTTTATCCCTTGTTATGGGTTTTTGTCTCACACTGTATCCTATGTTTGGCCATTGTTAAATTGGGAGTGATGTTTTCACAGACCTGGCTGGCTGATCCAGTCAACTGTGCCAGCAAAACAGTTATGTAGAATTGTATATAAAGGTTTAATGACACAAAACACTGTTTATTAGAAAGCTAATTGTGATAAAATTCATTAGATACAACATAGGGCTTCAAGTTTTGCATTGGGATCTTTGAGACTACATTTGCTTTATCCAGCAACTTAACTTCTTCCTAAATTTTGTGGGTAGGATACTGGAGATATGTAGAGTGCTGTTTTAACTTTGGAAGGAAACAATATCAGAAAATAGTGACTTACAGAAGCTCAGATGATGGTCTCTATTATTTCAGGTTGTGATTATGAATTCTGTTTCCTTATATTAATAATTAGGTTACATTGTTACCTGTTTTACATTACTTTACAAAATGACAACCACATCTGGGTGATTATGCTCTGTAAGTTTGTAATAATGGCACAAAGACAAATTTAAAACTACACCCACTCTAAGAACCTGCAGGGCTAGAACCTGGGACTAGGGGGCTTTTAGGCTACTGCTGCCTCCACATCACCACTGGAGGCTTAGGCTGGGCTCTTTTTGGAGGACCCTGTGAGGCTGGGCTTGGCACGAAGTACCGCCCAGCAGGATCTGAGTGGTGGCCCCTCAGAGCCCATTGATTGACCAGTACAAATACTTCAACCTGGAAGCCAGGAAGGGGAGTGGTCTGAATAACAACCTAGACTGCCTGCTTGCCTGCCTTGCCTCCAGACCGGGTTCGTGATGGACCCTACGCTCTGACTTTCGACCCTGGTTTGTCCTTGACTTTGCTCTTTGACTGCTGTCTGTAATCTGGTGCCTGATCCCGGTCTCCTGGTAACTTGACCCTGCCTGCTTGCCTCCTGAGGCCTGACACTCAGTTTGCCCTCTGGCCTTTCTCAGACACTGACCTCCCGGTAACCTGGTCATGTCTGCCTCCTGATACCTTTGTCTGTCCTCTGGCTGGTCTTGGACTCTGACCTCCCAGTACCTGACTTGGCCTGACTCTCTCAACTTCTGCTCTGACCACTAGATGTGACCACCCTCATTCTGGTTGACTTTTTTTTTTTAATCAGCAACTGAGTACCCAAAATAAAAAGATGCTGAGGCAAAGCAGAGTTCATAGGTACAGCACATCTCTGCAAGGAAAAGCACAGGTTTGATGTCCGCTTGTATTCCTTTTGGGTAATTTAACTGCTACAGGAAATATTTATGTAAAGTAATCAGGAGCAAAGAGCAACCCTGGCTCCTGCCCCACTGAAGCCAGAGCCAAAGATCCCATTGACTTCTTTGAGCCCGGAGTAGAGTTGCTAAAACCATTTCAAAATTTGACATTTTTCATTCAAATTATCAATTTCTGTCCTCCTCAGCTACCACCCTCTCCCTGGAAAAAAAAGGAAAAAGAAAGAAATGTGGATAAAATTTTCACAATTGTTTTTGCAGAATGTTGATCTTTTTTGCAACCAGCTGTAGCATAGAGCAAATGAAAGGCTCATGTGTGCCTTACAGGCACTACTAGGAATGGTACAGTGCGATAGTCAACTCCACACCAGCAGAAGCTGCAGAAGGGGTTGAGTACCTCAGGGAGAGGGAACATAGCTATTGCTATAGCCATAAAGGAATGGAACATGCACTTCTTCCCATTGTTGACAAGATCTGTTGGCATTGAGGAAGGAGAGTCGTCACTAAAAAGGTAAATTATGAGCCAGATACTTAACACAATTAATATTAACAGCAAGATGGAAGAAACACATTCCAAAATAGTGAGAGAACAGATGAAAGAATATTTAGATAAGTTAGATGTATTCAAGTCATCAGGGCTTGATAAAATTCATCCTAAGGTACTTAAGGAACTGGCTGAAGCAATCTCTGAACTGTTAACAATTACCTTTGAGAACTTGTGGAGGATGGGTCCCAGAGGACTGGAGAAGGGAAAACCTAGTACCTATCTTTAAAAGGGGGAACAAAGAGGACCCAGGGAATTATAGATCAGTCAGCCTAACTTTTGATACCAGGAAAGATACTGGCACAAATTTATTTAAACAATCGGTTTGTAAGCATCTAGAGGATAATTGAAAGATATGTAATAGCCAACATGGATTTGTTAAGAACAGATCATGCTAAACCAACCTCATTTCCTTCTTTGGTAGGGTAACTGGCTTAGTGGCTGGGGGGAAGCTGTAGACATGATATATCTTGATCTTAGTAAGGTTTTTGACACAGTCCCACATGACATTCTCAGCAGCAAACTAGGAAAATGTGGTCTCGATGAAATTACTATCAGGTTGGTGCAAAAGTGGTTGAAAGACTACTCAAAGAATAGTTATCAATGGTTCACTGTCAAACTGGGTGGATGTATCTAGTGGGATCCTGAAGGGTCTGTCCTGGGTCCAGTATTGTTCAATGTTTTCATTAATGACTTGGATAATGAAGTAGAGAGCATTCTTATAAAATTTGTGGATGACATCAAGCTGGAAGGAGTTGCAAGCTCTTTGGAGGACAGGATTAGAATTCAAAATGGCCTTAACAAATTGGAGAATTGGGCTGACATCAACCAGATGAAATTAAATAAAGACAAATACTACACTTCAGAAGAAAAGAATCTAATGTACAACTGAAAAAGGGGGAATGGGATAGGCAGTGGTACTGCTGAAGAGGATCAGGGGCTTATAGTGGATCAGAAACTGAATATGAGTCAACAGTGTGATGCAGTTGTGAAAAAGGTGCATAAACAGGAGTGATGGGTGAATTAACAGGAATGGGGTATGTGAGACATGGGAACTAATTGTTCTAATCTCCTTGGCACTGATGAGACCTCATCTGGAGTACTGTGTTTACTTTTGGGTGCAGCACTTTAAGAAAGATGTAGACAAATTGGAAAGAGTCCAGAGGAGAGCAGCAAAAACAACAAAAGGTTTAGAAAACCTGACCTGTGAGGAAAGATCAAGAAAACTGGACATGTTTAGTGTTGAGAAAAGAAAGCAGAGGGGGAGACCTGATAAGTCTGTGATGGGTTATTATAAATCTCTCACTAAAACTGAAGGGGTTAAAGGGCAACTCTGGACCCAGATGACCCTGCCCAGCCACACCTGCAGCGCATGCTGCAGATAGAGGTGGAACTTGGAAGGGAAGTCAGACAATTCAGAAAGAGACTGACAAGGCAGGGAGAGGAGCCTGCCCTGATTGCTCCTGAGAAGGGATGCTGCAGAAGTCTCTCTTGGAAAAGAGACTCTACCTGCTGGGCCCAGACAGGCTGAAGGTGCAGTTAGTACTTTTTTCTATTATCTTTTTGCTACAGACTGCAAAACTTGGACAATACAGTGGGTTGAAGGAAGTGGCCAAAGGAGGGGCGCTCCTGAGTACTGGACCGTTGATTACCTGACCTGAGCTCCCCTACCAACCCTGCTCCACACTAAAAAGGGACTGACCCCTAACCACTAGGCCACACTTCCAGCAGCTGCCAGCATCACACTGTTTTCAAATAGGTTAAGGGTTATTATAAAGTAGACAGTGATCAATTGTTTTCCATGTCCAGCAAAGTAGTAAGAAGGACAAGAAGTAATGGGCTTAATCTGCAGCAAGGGAGATCTAGCTTAGATATTAGGAAAAACTTACTAACTATAAGGATAGTTAAGCACTGGAATAGGCTTGCAAGGGAGGTTTTGGAATCCGCATCCTTGGAGGTTTTTAGACAAAGGTTAGCCAAAGACTTTTCAGGGATGATCTAGGTATACATAATCCTACCTCACTGTGGGGGGCTGACCTCTTGAGGTCCCTTGCAGCCCTACATTTCTATGATTTTAGAGCAGCTTATCCTCCCCCTTGTCCGTTTTGGGGTTAGCTAGCACCACTAGCCTTACACAGCTGTTGCCTAGAGGAGACTCTGATCCCTTGTTTTGGGATGTTCAAGAAGTAGGCTCCTTGTCCCTTCTGACTCCATGTGCATCTTTGTAGGAGCTGGACACAGTGTAGTCCTAAATTAGAAAGGGTATTTGTTGAAGAAATTACTGTTCCACTTTTGTTATCCATGCAGGCAAACAGCTGAGATATTTTTTACTAAACACATCAGTATCTGAATTGTATAAGAGGTATGAACAGCTTTAACTTGCTTATTGCATTCTGGAAATGGAGGCCTGGAGCAGTCATAGACGGGCTTCAGGGATGTTAATTGTTTGTGTACATGAACAAGCTTATAAATGGTTGTTTTTGCAATCTTATTTTGCTCATTGAGGATAGCTATGTGAGTGCCAGAGAAAAGGAGGAAGAATGAATTATATTTTTTGTACCCACTCTATTAATACTTTCAGGGCTTGATATAATATGCCTTTAACAAACCATGAACTTCTCTCCTACTGAGCCACTGCATTCTGCCTACATTCAAAGTAAGCAGGGAACCATTATACTAATCCACTGTACCATCGTATCTCTAGCAAACACATGTAAGTGATTGCTTTGAATATTTATTTTGATGCAAGAGTGTTGAGTCTTTTATTTGGCAATGCATACAGCTAGGAGATTGACTTTCTCAACTTTGTTAAGAAGGGTATAGCTATAGCGGTAACATTTGGCTTTGTGAGCCTAGAACACCCCAACAACCTCAGAGTGGTTCACCTCTGCGATTAGGATGGTTTAAAAACATGAAAGTGAACTGATTTTTTTGTTTTGTTTTGTTTTTAATCAGGTGCGATTGTATGCAAGACCTGATGCAATCAGAAGAGGATCTGGGGACTATGCTCTAAATATTACAAGGAGACTCATTGAGTTTTATGAAGACTACTTTAAAGTGCCCTATTCTCTACCAAAATTAGGTAAGACTTTTCTGAGATCGCTGTTTGTCCAAGGGAACTCTATTCTAGAGATTAGAAAATAAGGTTGTTTTTACTGGTAGATTTCAATGTGAAGAATTTGGGGGTTAAGTTAGAAGGGACATTGAACAGGAAATTTTTAAATTCTTCTAAAGAGAAGAAGCCAATTTTTCACCTCTTCCTCATCTTGCCTTTAGGTGCAGCTACTAAACAACAATTGAATCTATTAGGCATTGAGACTCTAGAGAATAGAAGCTTTGCTAATCAGTTCCTGCTTTCCTGATGCTCAGCATGTTGGGCCTCACTATCATTAGATAGCCCTCGGGTTATGTTTATTCAGTCATATGTACATCTTGATTGCTCAGCTGCAGAAGGGGAATAGAATTGAAAATAACAGTGGAAATGGGAAATTTACAACATTTAAAGAAAATATTTGTTGATTAGTGTAGGTTCTTAATGATGATTAATATATGCTTGACAATATTGCTGCTTATTGAAGAGACTTGTTGTGAGCTTATTTTACTGTTCAAGTGACCCAATTGTAAATGCTATCAATTTTTTTTCACATTTTTCCTTCCCTTCCCTTCCCCCAACCTCTCTCACTCCCTTGAATATTTCACACTGTATTATTACATACTCCCTCCTTAAGAGTACGTTTGATCAGGATCCAGAAAAATTTATTGCTCAGCAACAAGAAGAAAGCTTGTATTTGATCTGAAGTGTTAGAGTTTGAACCACAGGTGTTCGTTCCAGGAGCTCAGGGCCTATTTCATTAAAGCACAAGCCTGCTGGGTAGCTTTATTAGTCTTACAACTAATGGTGTAGTAGATAGATAAAGTAATTAGTATTGTTTGAAGTGGGTGTTGCATGCATTTTAAATAAGAATGATGTGACTTTTTTGTCCTTTTTAAATGATGGGTTGCAAGCAGTGCTCTGTTAGAGGCATGGATGCTTATAACCATGGAACGCTCCTCAAACTGCAGGTTACTATTTGTATGTACTTTCATACCTGACTTTAGTATTGCCCACCCAAGGAATTGTGGCACTAAGGTCTGATATAAATATTTTTATGGGACGTTGCTCAACCTCAGCTGGAGTAGTCAGAAACTTCTCCACATGACATGATAATGAATAAATCATGATTGCTTGACACTGGAAGTTCCAGACTCATTGGTGCCAAGTCGTTAAAAGAAAAAATGGATATCTTTCTTCCCTTTGAAAATTTATAATTAGCAAAGAGACTCAGATTATTATTTTAGGTAGTTAAAAATCTGGAAATAGTAGGTAGAGAATGTGTCTACTTCTGTGCATCTTTAACAATTAAAACATATAGCCTTTCATCTCAGTATATTTTGCTTGTTGTTGTTGCTACACAGTGGCATATTGTGTTAAAATACTTCAGAGGATTGAATGCCTTCCAGGTTAGTCTATTTATGGGATTACACTATAAAATACTATAGTGAATTTGTAGTTTTTCTACTATAAATTATATTAAAATTTAATTTTAAAATTTAATAATATTAGGTATGTCGTGTATGAAGACTTTGTTATGATGTAGTAATGCTGTAGAAACTATAATAAGATGAGTTTATAGGATGAAAAACATAAAAGTATCGTACATACCGCCTATAATGTACAGTTTGTTTAGTATAAGTATGCTGGGGAAAATGTCAAAAGTGCCTTTGTGACTTACAAAGGTAAGTCTTGTTGGTTTGGATTCCTAAGTCACTTTGGCATTTTTGAAATGTTGCCCGCTATGTGTCTTCCAGTTCAGCAAAGTTATTAAGCAGGTGCTTAACTTTAAACATGTGGGTAATGCCATTGATTTCAGATGAAAAAGGCTGCTGCCTTTTGAAAATTTGAGGACGGATGGGAATAAAAATGTGTGAATTGGAGCTCAACAGGAACCCTAGGGCAGGAACCCCTAGCATGTCTTCACTAGCAACGTTAAAGCGCTGCCGTGGCAGCACTTTAACTTGGCTGTGTAGTCGCAGCAGCTCTCCCAGGGCTATAAAAAACCCACCTCCACAAGGGGAGTAGCTGCCAGCGCTGTCTACACTGGCACTTTACAGTGCTGAAAGTTGAAGTGCTCAGGGGGGTGTTTTTTCACACCCCTGAGTGAGAAAGTTGCATTGCTGTAAAGTATCTGTGTAGACAGGGCCGGCTCCAGGCACCAGCAGGTGCTTGGGGCGGCCACTCCGGAGCGGGGTGGCACGTCCAGCTATTCGGCGGCAATTCGGCGGACGGTCCCTCACTCCCGCTCGGAGCGAAGGACCTCCTGCCAAATTGCCACTGCAGATCGTGATCGCGGTGTGTGTGGGTTTTTGTTTTTTTTTTGTGCTGCTTGGGTCGGCAAAAACCCTGGAGCCGGCCCTGAGTGTAGACAAGTGAGTGGAAGAACCAAAGTATAAGAGCTGTTATGCAATGGGACCAGCTATGAGGAAAACCCCAGAGAATTTTTCAGAGATCCAACTGAGAAGAGATGCCAGAGAAAAGACTGCATTAGATGTGTCTGTGGAAGGAGTGAAAGGTAGGTGTATTAGGGAGAATGTGGTTGTAAGAGAAAACTGTTGTGCTATCAGAAGTGAAGAAGAAGTTTATCTCAGAGTCTAGTTTACTTCACTCAATAAACTATTATTGCCTCCACTACAAATGCTCATAGACTCCAGTTAGAACTGGTTGAAAAGTGCCAATTACTTTATGTGGGAGTTTTTATTTTTAAAGAAATTTACTGCAAAACAATTTTTTCAAATGAAAAACCGAAACAGATTTTTTTAGATGTTTTCAGGGGGCAAAAATCAGTTTTTGCAGAACATTTTCATTTTTTGCACATTGAAAATTTTTACTGACTAAAAATTTGTTAATCAAAAAAATGTTTGGTTAAAAGTTTCAATTTTTGGTTTTAGTTTTTTTTCAGTGACACTTTTGGTAGAAATTTGAAGTTTTCCATGAAAATAATTATTTTGGCTGAAACCAATATGTTGTTTAAAATGTTTTGATAATATTTTGACTAACTTTAGCTACAGCTTAACTTGTTTTCAGTGTAATATGACACAAAATTACATACTGGAAGACCAGTTATTGTATTGTTGTTAAGTGTTTTGCATGTTTCCTTTCATTCTCCTGTGCCATTGCGCTCGCGCTCTCTCTCTCTCTCTCTCTCTGTGTTCAGCTTTTGTGTTGTTTTCACATTTCAGAGTCTCTTCTCTTTTTTATGGAAGTGATGATGTAAGTCAGCTGGCCCACTGCTGTCCTGTAGTATGGTCTTCTGTATGCATTATTGCTGTCGTCTATGTTGTCATCAGACTGCCCTAAGCTTCTGTGCTGGTTAGGCCCATTGTCATGGGCTTTGATTTGTGCATTCCAAACTGGCTCCACTTATCTGAGCTTGCCTCAGAGTGGGCTAAGGTTCTTCATATGGACCAGTGTGGCTTGCTTCTGTGGTTGTGTGATTTGTTTTTGACTGTGCTTTTAACTGTTGCCTGTACACAAGGACAATTGTTTGCAAACACTATTTATGAAGTGTCTTTTGTGGACTGCTCCAGCTGTTCTGTGGCCTTTGGCACTACTTGCAGATAGATAGTAATGGTTTGGGATGTTGGCTCCATCTGCTACATTAGGTTGGACAAAAATAAATGATGAAAACAAAACAACACAGATTTTTTAATTTAAATTATGGGTTTGTTTTTTAAAACTAAATCTATTTAAAATTAAATTTGAAATTTAACAATTTATGTTAAGCCCTAAACTTATTATAATTTATTCAAATCATTTAAATTAAATACAAGAATAATATTAAGAAGTACATGTTTGTTGCAAAGCTATAAAGAAAGTCAAACCACTGAATTGCTAGAAGTTACTGGCTAAGCGCCTGGAACCAGAGTTTGTTGCAGTGCTAAACCAGCTTTTGACAGCAGTAGCCACTTCTGCAGATGCACAGAGACTATTTTTTTCATTTCACTTTATTCAACTCATATGCGGTGGGGAATTTTGCGCCAAAAAATTAAATTCTGCACACAATATTTTAAAATTCTGCAAAATTCGGCATATTTTATTTGTCAAAATAACACACTATAATCATGCCAGTTTCAGTTATCTTGGTAATTTCTTTCAAAATACCTGTCAGCAAGTATGTCTAATAATACAGACAAAAATAAAAGATTCAGGAAATGTTTTTTGACAAATAGATTCCTTACTAGGAAAATTAATACAGAACTTTGAGTAATAATTAATTTAAACTGCAATACAGAAATGCAGTGCAGAGGCCTGGGGAGTCAGTGGTAATGGAGGAGCTGAGGGGAGAGGGAAAGACCCTGGGAGTGAACCTGGAGGGCTGTTGGGTGTGGGAAGTATGGAGCAGTTATTTTTTGTGGGGGGAAGGGATTGTTAGGGAGTTGGGGAGTCTCCCCCCATGCAGACCCTGACTGACCTCTAGCCTCTCCCATTAAGTCAGGCACATGTGTCCCTGCACTCCCTGTTCCTGTGTGTCCCTGCACCCCACCCCCCCCGTCCCTATGTAGTTCTGCAGCCTCCAGCCCCTGCCCTTTCAGCCCCTAGCTCAATGCTGTCACCCCACTAGACCTTCTGAACCCCATTCTGTGTCCCTCCAACAGCCCTGTGTTACGGTGTCTTTAAAAAGTTTCCATGCCTTTTAATTTCTGTTGCACTAACCTCCTCATTTCTGTGTAATTGCCATTTCTGAAATGAAATGCTACAGTGTTGGTCTGCTGTAGTGTTTTCCCCACCACATTGATATTAAATTTAATTATATTATGGTCACTATGACCAAGGGGTCCAGCTATATTCACCTTTTGGACCAGATCCTGTGCTCCTATTAGGACTAAATCAAGAATTGCCTCTCCTCTTGTGGGTTCCAGGACTAGCTGCTCCAAGAAGCAGTCATTTAAGGTGTGAAGAAACTTTATCTCTGCATCCTGTCCTGAGGTGACACATACCCAGTCAGTATGAGAATAGTTGAAATCCCCCATTACTATTGAGTTTTT